AATATATGACCCCCCAGTGTGAAATTTGACAATATCTAATAGAAAGGGACCTGTTACGCCAAGACATGGTCTGACACCTTTTCTACGTTTTCATGAATTAAACGACGCAAAAACCAAAACAAGCATACTCGCGTTGAAGACAAACTCTGACATGCACAACTCTCATCATTTCAAGCAACAACTATGCAGTAATGCCTCCGTTGCGCGGGGCAGCGTTGCGCTGCGCGGGACCGTTTTTCGCCTTTTCGGCGATGTTTGGGAGACCCTACAACTCACAGCTGCAGGTAGCTGCAGCTAAATTCTTTTGAGTCTTGTTTGTTGGCATGTTGGCTTCCGCAAGGACTGAAGGAGACCGTTTAACCACGTTAAACAAAAAAGTGCCGCCTCTGCAAAGATTTAATTTTGACAATTTTGTCATAGTGTAGTAAAAATGAAGCTGGACACCTCAAAAATCGTCCAAAATCAAACGTAAATGTATGTAAATTTTCGTAAAGAAACGCCCTTTTACGTGGTGTCAATAAAAATTATGCTGGACAAAAATTTATAGGTGTTTTGTGCGTTTGAAATCATGCATTTTTACTGCACCAAAGTAGCGCAAATCGTGTGTTGCGTGTTTGACCACCTCTATGTTGGCCAAAACGTGTCCCAATGTTGAAATTCTGGCCAATCCTGGTTCGTTGGAGTATTGGGAAGAGACGTCATGAAAAAAAGCTTAAAGGTTTGAAAGTTGAAAAACTGGAATTATGTCTGCCTAAACTGGCTTCGTGGCCCACTGTGCGGCGTTCACTGTATCCTGGGAACCCGCATCCGCTGTACCCTGGAAACTGTTCAGACACGGCATTCAGTATAACTGTAAAATAAAGGCGAAATTCCAAAATCACGATAGAAACGATTTGATGACGGAAATGAATTCATCTTGTCAAGGCGAACAAAAAATGATAAGCATATTATGGTCTCAGACTGATAATTCAGCGGGAATCGTGATCAGAAGTCTATAAAAGTAGGATTTTGGACTCCAAAACATCGGACTCAGCAAATTACGGTCTAAAATCCTACTTTTTTAGACTTTTGATGCCGATATCTGTTGAATTTCTAGTTTGAGCCCACGACATGCCTATAATTTTTTGTTTGTCTTGTTGAGATGAATTCACTTTCGTCATCGAAACGTTCTTATCGGGATTTTTGAATTTCGCCTTTATCTTACAGTTTTACTGAATGCCGTGTCTGATGTCTGAACAGTGTCCAAGGTACAGCGGATGCGGGTTCCCAGGATACAGTGAACGCCGTTCCTTCAGGCACAGGGTCTACTGTATCCCAGGGTACGGTAAACACCTTCTTTTGGCAAACAATGGAGAGTGGCATTAGGTTTAACAGCCCCAATCTTCATTATTTCTCCCAGTGTGACTTCGTGCCGCTGCAGGGGCGTGAATAAAGTGACTCGCTAAAAAACGGCATGACAGAAAAGTCACGCCAAAAATCGGTGTCACTCAAAAATTCACGCCAATTTTCGTTGTGAATTTCTTGTCATGCCTCATGCTGGTTTTTGGCATGACTTGTCTCTTTAAACGCGTTGTCATTCACGCCAAATGACGGCGTGACTCACAATGTCATGCCGTATGCCGTCATGCCGTGACTCCGCACTGTAAAAAAATCATGGGTAAATTTACACGTGCACTGCACTGATAAATTTTACGCAATGGCCTGAGAAAATTTTTTCTCACGTAATGGAGGCGCAGAGCTACACTCTAAATGTCTTACGAAGAAATTTCCCATAATACGAAGGAAATGGCGCAAGCATAATACGAAGGTGGTTTTTCTTCGTATTACGAAGGTTTTTCTTTGTATCTTACAATGAAAAAGCTAAAAAGATTCGTATTACGAAGGAATATTGCTTCGTATTATGCTTGCGCCGAATTCACTGTAACATACGAATAACATACGGCAAATTTCACTGTAAGACATTTAGAGTGTAAACTAACTATGTGGCTGGAAAATTTATCCTCTGACAGTGTGGGTAAATTTATGAGCCACAAAAGTAAATTTACTCTTTGGGAAGAAACTGATTTCACTTGCCACGACAGTAAAATTACCCTCGCAAGTCAGAATAAATTTCTACACCTGGAGTGGCCGACCGTCTTTCCCGCGCCACAGGGGCAAATTTCCTCGCGCCTCTGCTCGGCCAGTCCGGCCGGACCAGTACAGAGCTCGCAGCGACCTGTAGGATGTCTCGTGGCGCAGTGGATAGCGTGGTATGATTTGAATCACAAGGTTGACGGTTCGACTCCCATTGAAATCAATAATGTGGGCAAGGTTTAGTCACCCCAACATGGTTTTAGCCACTGGCGCAAGCCAGCAGGATAATTTTACCCCTGCGGCGTGAGTTATTTTGGGTCGGTACCAGGATTTACCGTCATTTTTTCTCAGAGTGTAGAAATTTACCCCTGTGGCTCGGGAAAGATACACCCTCAGTCCATGTGCGTAAATTCCACAAGAAATGGGTAGAGAAATTTCTTACGTCATGTACTGATCTATTTACCTATACATTACTTGAGAAATAACTACCGCTTGATGGTGGACCAAGCGTTGCCCGGTCCAAATGCGTAAATTTTCATATCCGAGGTGTAAAACAGAGTCATTCCAATTTATTTTAAGCATTCTAACGGCTTGACCCTCTTCTTCAACACCAGTGCAGCTTGTGGAGATGATAAGAGGTTCGGAGAGTTCAGTCGCCTGAGCACTGTAGGCTTAAGAATACCCATTTTGTAAGTTCCGTCAGTCCCCAGCACCCATCGGTCAACTTTACCCCTCAAAATTGAGAAAATTGGCCGTCGCAATCGAAAAACGGCCGTTGCGCGTTGTTCTTTATTCCATTGTGAGCAAAATCTTAAATGGTGACGTTTGTATGAGTTGTACTCGTGCCCCTTTTGGACTGCTAAAAAATGTCCACCGTGTGTCAACTAAACCAGTGCTCACACCATAAAAAGACGCTTAAGCTGCATTTCTTCAATGTTTCATGTCGATACTCCCCTGCAACAAGCAGCTATCTACGCTCACTGTCTCGATAACCGACTATCTACGGGCGCTCTCCCGACAACCGGCTATCTACATGGGCTGTCTGGATAACCGACTATCCAACATCGTAGCGAGGTTAGGGTTGTCGTATAACGAAGTATTTTTCTCCATGACACTTAAAGCGACCCGTTTAAACCATACTTAATCTTGCTTTGACAAACTTTTGACAAGTTTTGGTAAAGGTTTTGCGACGGCAACTTAATTGGTTCGATAAATAAAAGCATTCAATCTCGCGAGGTGGAGAAAGCAGATAGACGGTTATCCAGACAGCTCGTGTAGATAGCCGGTTGTCGGGAGAGCGCGCGTAGATAGTCGGTTATCGAGACAGTGGGCGTAGATAGTTGCTTGTTGCAGGGGGGTATCGATGTGTGGTAACTATTCGTGCCGAAAGTTTTACTCCTCCCGCATGAGAAAATCGGTGGGGAAGACGTTTGCAACGCATCATTGATTGACGGCACACCCAAGTATCTGACAAAACGGCATCAGCGCATACAGTCGTGCTCCTTTATTTGTGCCGCTTTTCTGGCTTGCTATTTATCCCGGAGTCATCCCCACCACCCGGAGCTCAGGTGCCGCGCGGGCCGACCCCGCCGGACGCCGGGCTGGCCCCCGGCCGGGAAGGACAGCCGGCTTAATCCCCTGGGCCGGGCCAAATCCGCAGGCCAGATCGAACTCCACATTCGTCCACTTTTTTAACTTTCTGATTTCAAAAATGGATAGCTGACTAAAAACTACTACAAATGGAAAAAAAAATCACCTCAAAATTCAAATTTTGACCCCAGCGGCGCAAGATTTTGCCTTTTTCTAACAAAATGTTCGAATTTTAACAATTTTACCCGACGAAAACCATACCTTTTTTTGATGGTCTGTTTTGATGCGCATTCAAGAATTCATAGCCAAAATTTGGTGGTGGTTGAACCACGGGAAGTGCCCAAATTTTCTATCTGTCCTCTTCTTTGTCCCGGCGCGCCGCCTCGCCGCGGTAGGGTCAAAATTTGAATTTTGAGGTGATTTTTTTTTTGCATTTGTGGTAGTTTTTAGTCAGCTATCCATTTTTGAAATCAGAAAGTTAAAAAAGTGGACGAATGCGGAGTTCGATCTGGCCTAGGGATTTGGCCCGGCCCAGGAGATTAAGCCGGCTGTCCCTTTCCCGGCCGGGGGCCAGCCCGGGTCGGCCCCGGCGTCCGGCGGTGATCGCCCCGGGCCCCAGGTAGTGGCTTTCTGATTGTCGTATGCTTCGCTCGGAAAGCGGCACAAATAAAGGAGCACGACTGTACTGCACCCATATTTTTATTTAGGCCCTTTCAAATACCTGCCGGTGCGCATGTGACGCTCATTAGCGTCGCGAAAATTTCAAGTCCGTCCTCTGAGAAATGAGCCATCTACAGCGGTAGAGGTGCTGCCGGAACCGCCGGACTCTGAGTCCAGGCGACCCCGGCCGGCCGGCCGGCCGGCCAGCCCCGCCCTCTCCCCCCTCCACTTCGGGCTGCGGGTGGCGCGGCGGGCAGCCTCCGGAGTCACCTGCGGCGCGGCGGCAGGTTCTCGCAGAGCTCATCCATGGCGCAGTTGGCAGCGCATCGGGCTCATAACATGAAGGATCGGGGTTCGAATCTCGGACAAAGAAAGCGAATTGGTTGGGACGGTGGGAAGGAGGTTGGACGGAATGAACAATGACATAGTCGCGATTTGATTTTGACCTCATTTGCCCCGGGCTGCGATGGTCCCAACCATCTCCCCAAAGCATGTACCAGAGAGTACTCCTGAGGATATTCCCAGGACTATGGCAAAACATACATTCACTACTCCTGAGCATGTGCCAGGAATGTCGTCCGGGGAGTATCCTGTGTCCCAATCAGAATATTCCAAGGACATCTTCAGAATGTTGAAATGTTGACTGGGTAGAGAAGCATAAAAAGCATTGTATGCCAGCCCCTGAGGAAATGTTTACCAGGTACAACGGTTTCACACTTTGCTTACCGAATCCAAAGGCGACTTGAAATCGGATGACACAGGTGGAATCAAAGAGTTTTCCTCTTCCAGAATACGAGACAAGGGACCACTGAGGAAAAAAGATAAAGTTTTACAATCCTGCACTTGGTAACAATTTTCTTCTTAAAACAAGTAAAAAATCTACGAAGGGTAAAATTAAGCAAGCCTTATAATGAGGGTCTGAAAGATAACCAATGAAGTTTTCAGTTGCAAAATCCCTCGACAATGTGGATTTTCCAGGAGAAAGAGCGAAAAAGTCTGTGAAAAGTTGAATTTTACAAAAATGGACTTGTTTGAAGGTGGAGAAAAGTTAGGCCTCTCAAGTCACAATTTTCATGCTTATAAATATGGGGAAAAAATTTGAGTTTGTATTTTGACTAATGTGAAAAATTTCTCACTCATCATAACGTAAACTTTGTGCTTTATCTGAAAAATTTATCCTTATCCTTTGTTCAAGACAAACTGAAAATCCTTTTTGACAAATTTTTATCTTAATAGTCTCTGAAAATTGATACCAGTGACACTACACATTTTCAAACCTTTACAACTGTCCATTTTACACTGTTGCAAACTTGCAAGCACTACCTGTACTGAAACTACTTGTAAAGGAGTACTTTGATTTTGAAATGGAACTACAACATTCTTATCCTAGACACAGATCAAAAAAGTCAAAATTTTACCCCAAAAGGTTTAACATTACTTGAAGCTTCATCCCATCAAAACCAGCAATGACGCATCTGATGAACAATACCATACCTATTAAGGGGTATTGAAATGCACGTTTTTTTGAATTCCATACCGGCACACCCGGAAAAGAGTTCATTCCTACCTAAAACCACCGCAAACCAAATTTGAGACCGATCGAAAAATATTTAGGGGTCGCTACAATGGCTGAAAGTTGTAAATTTGACGTAATTTGAAACAAAATACAACTTTGGAGTATTTAAAGCCCTGCGCATCCGGTGTTGGTCCTAGCTTGTTGCCCCCGGAGACTTTTTTTTTCTCGGGATCCAGGCCGACCGAAAGAACCCTACGGGATGCGTTTTTAGCGAATGGTAACGGAACTGGGTCCATTCTACGCTCAAAAAAGTGTTTTTTTCTCCGCTTTTAGTGTTTTAGAGGCCTGCCAAACTTTTGCCTTGCGTCACAAAAATTCTAAACCCATGTATTTTGATAGAAAAAAGGTTGCTTTTTCAAATGGCGGTCACGGAAACAGTCTACGATTTTTGGTTTAGGCTCCAGAGCCGTTTAAAGTTAAAAAATGGATTTTATTTTAGTGAAAATGAGAGCAAATGTTCACTCTTAGTCACGTGCGACGTATGGTTTGGCCTCTTGCGCTACCCGGCGAAGTGCAGGCGGTGCGCTGTGATGGGAGAAACTTCCCGGGTAGAAATGGACGGCTTTTATACAGCTGGTAAATATTTTGTGACCAAAGTAACGCGCTGGCGTTCGAAAAATACCTGGATTATGTTTGGACTGTGTCAGCAAGATGTCGACAAAATATTCGGATATTTTGTGGACGTTTTGCCAGTCTCTGGCCGGCCGACGTCGTTTTTAACGACCTTAAAAAGATGCCCAGAAGGCAAAGACAAAATATAGGCAAAGAGTTGCCGCATCGCTGGCCGCAGCAGCAAAAGAGAGACCACTGGCGTCGATCCACAAACCTGCCGCTTGCGAGACAAGAGCGGATCTGCTGGGCGCTGGGCCAGAGCGTCATCGCTGAAAAAGAATTGCAGCTGAGCGGTCCGTATACGTATCCACGACCGTGTGGACTCAGCCGGTCCCTGCCCCAGGTCAAGCCCATGATGTCACGATCCAGCGAACTCTGTTGATCACGCGCGGCAATAACAGCTAGTCTATAGCGTGGAGCTGCTGCGACCTGCTGTGAACGAATGGGAGCAAAGAGGCTGACACAGTCTAAACATAATCCAGGTATTTTTCGAACGCCAGCGCGTTACTTTGGTCACAAAATATTTACCAGCTGTATAAAAGCCGTCCATTTCTACCCGGGAAGTTTCTCCCATCACAGCGCACCGCCTGCACTTCGCCGGGTAGCGCAAGAGGCCAAACCATACGTCGCACGTGACTAAGAGTGAACATTTGCTCTCATTTTCACTAAAATAAAATCCATTTTTTAACTTTAAACGGCTCTGGAGCCTAAACCAAAAATCGTAGACTGTTTCCGTGACCGCCATTTGAAAAAGCAACCTTTTTTCTATCAAAATACATGGGTTTAGAATTTTTGTGACGCAAGGCAAAAGTTTGGCAGGCCTCTAAAACACTGAAAGCGGAGAAAAAAACACTTTTTTGAGCGTAGAATGGACCCAGTTCCGTTACCATTCGCTAAAAGCGCATCCCGTAGGGTTCTTTCGGTCGCCCTGGATCCCGAGAAAAAAAAAGTCTCCGGGGGCAACAAGCTAGGATCAACACAGGATGCGCAGGGCTTCAAATACTCCAAAGTTGTATTTTGTTTCAAATTACGTCAAATTTACAACTTTCAGCCATTGTAGCGACCCCTAAATATTTTTCGATCGGTCTCAAATTTGGTTTGCAGTGGTTTTAGATAGGAATGAACCCTTTTCCGGGTGTGCCGGTATGGAATTCAAAAAAACGTGCATTTCAATACCCCTTAATACCTATCTGCGGTTGAGTCATCTGCATCTCCATTATCTTCCAACTTGAATGACTGCTTCTCTTGGCTGTGGCCACAAGACAGGAAGGTGGGAAGAGGCCGTTTTGAGGCTGATTTGCTGTGGCCTAAAATCGGGGACCTGGAGTGACTTCTAGTCTCCTTGGTGTGGCCGCGAGAAGGCGAACGGGAGTGGCGCCTGGACTCCTTGGTGTGGCCGCGAGAAGGCGAACGGGAGTGGCGCCTGGACTCCTTGGTGTGGCCGCGAGAGGGCGACTTGGAGTGGCGCCTGGACTCCTTGGCGTGGCCGCGAGAAGGCGAACAGGAGTGGCGCCTGCTATCCTTGGCGTGGCCGCGAGAAGGCGAACGGGAGTGGCGCCTGGTCTCCTTGGTGGGGCCCGCGAGAAGGCGAACGGGAGTGGCGCCTGGTCTCCTTGGTGTGGCCGCGAGAAGGCGAACGGGAGTGGCGCCTGGACTCCTTGGTGTGGCCGCGAGAAGGCGAACGGGAGTGGCGCCTGGTCTCCTTGGTGTGGCCGCGAGAAGGCGAAGGGGAGTGGCCCTGGACCCCTTTGGGTGTGGCCGCGAGAAGGCGAACGGGAGTGGCGCCTGGTCTCCTTGGTGTGGCCGCGAGAAGGCGAACGGGAGTGGCGCCTGGACCCCTTTGGGTGTGGCCGCGAGAAGGCGAACGGGAGTGGCGCCTGGACCCCTTGGGTGTGGCCGCGAGAAGGCGAACGGGAGTGGCGCCTGGATCCTTGGTGTGGCCGCGAGAAGGCGAACGGGAGTGGCGCCTGGTCTCCTTGGTGTGGCCGCGAGAAGGCGAACGGGAGTGGCGCCTGGACTCCTTGGTGTGGCCGCGAGAAGGCGAACGGGAGTGGCGCCTGGTCTCCTTGGTGTGGCCGCGAGAAGGCGAACGGGAGTGGCGCCTGGACTCCTTGGTGTGGCCGCGAGAAGGCGAACGGGAGTGGCGCCTGGACCCTTGGTGTGGCCGCGAGAAGGCGAACGGGAGTGGCGCCTGGACTCCTTGGTGTGGCCGCGAGAAGGCGAACGGGAGTGGCGCCTGGTCTCCTTGGTGTGGCCGCGAGAAGGCGACCTCGAGTGACGTCGCCTGTCCATCGTGTCCTAAGAAACATGACGGCACACTGTGAATGACTGGCAGCCCTAAAATCCGCGTCACACAGCAGACTGATTCCAAGAGTCACAATCAGCTCTCTCTCTCTCTCTCTTCTCTCCTCTCCTCTCTCTCCTCTCCCTCTCTCTTTCGCACCTGTAGGGATGCCCCATGAGTGCGAGAGAGACAGGGCGACGAAAACGACCCCGGAGTCGTGGCCCGGGAACTGTAGAGCCATCGCGTCACTACAAGCAGGAACCTGCAGACTGATTCCGAGAGCGTTTTCGTGCGCCGTCTCTCTCGCACTCGTAGCATGCTCGTAGGGCGTGCCGTATGGGTGCGAGAGAGACGGCGCGACGAAGACGACTCTCGGAATCAGTCTGCTTCAGCTTGATTCCCAAACCGCTATGTCACTGTCTCTCTTGCACCCCTGTGGGGCGCCCTATGAAATGACGACGCAGCGAAAAAACGCCTTTTGAAACCAGCCAGCTGCGTAAGCTGATTACTTAAAACGGAAGAAATGAAACTTTCAAGTCACCCTCCCGGGAGACCAAGTGCGTTTGCCACCGTCTCTACGCGCACGCTGAAACCGGAGAACAGCCGCTTTGAGATAGCACCGGCACCGACGTACTGTACATTCGCTGAGACCTGAGACCTGAGCCAGCGGCGACCCTTTGCTATGCAGGCCTTTCTTGGTGCCATCATGAGTGTGGCAAAAAGCCTCCAAACAACGAGCGAAACAAAGGGTCAAACCCTTATAACGCACCGGAACAGCACTCCGACAACGAGGCCCCCGGGGGGATTCGGCTGTTTAACTTTCCCTTTGGGCGCCGCGGGCTCAGGTCTGAGCGAATGCACAGTACCCGGGTTTTCGCGGTACCGGACCGCCGGACGATGCACTTATAACCTCATAGACAGTCCTTTGCAATCGACAATACATTCGTTTAAAATTTAAAATTACAGAAAAAATGGGGTTTTTCCGCTGAACGAAAGCGTTGAAGCGCTCACGCACACAACACGCTAACCTGGGTAAGGTGCTCTCATCTCACACACTGAACTACAATTTCTGTGCTCTTTTAATGACTTTCAGTACTGTAGCACTAAAACCTGTATCCGACTAACTTAGGTTGTAATGATAAAAACGAGAAATAATCTCCACTGAACTTACTCACTTTCGACGTGCTCTTTTCCCCGCTGGAGGACAATCCGAATGTGCGTTTGAGTGTTGAGGTCTGCAGGTTAGCCAAATTTGAATTCTGAAATACACGAATGCAAGAAGGATATCGAATGGAGTTAAGAGATTTCTGGATTTCGCCATTAATTTGAAACATAAATAAGGAAACCACAAATACATTTCCCGGCATCAAGTGATATTAAAGGGATATCTTACCTAAAAGTTGAGAGTTAGGCTTAAAATTTTGTTGTAGTGGTAATGAGCTTATCGGCAGTTTACATCTGCGAATAATGTGGGGACATAAGGGAATTGCCCGATCTCTCACACATTCATTTCTTTGTCTGCATCGTCTGCATTCTATCCGAATTGAATAACAGAAACAACCTAATAGTACCTTTTGCAGAGCATAAAATCATGATAAAATTTCTGAGTGATAAGCAATGGTTTAGAGTTTTTCACCATCACACGAAATCCCTTATAAATGTAATGGGACATTTTACCAACACAGGAGAAACTTTAGACATACCGTAGTAAACTTTAAAAAATTGGATCTTATTACTTAAAATTGCGACCAAAAAATGGACAAACACCAGAATGAGTTCAAGAAAAGGACATGTTCAACGCCTTCATAATGTAAAGTTTAAGAGAGAACGAATAATTGGGACAGTCGAAAGAAGAACACAAATCAAAATCATAGAAACATATTCTAAGATAACAAACTGAAATGTCGATATGAAAAGAATCTTACTGCGTTGGAAACTGTTTAAATTTTCACTTATGAATGTCACCAAGCACATCATCATACCCATTGCGCTCCGTCTTGAGATCATTGACATTAGTTATTTTTATTAGAAATATCATATTTTTAAGTGTCTTAGATTAGAAATAGGCATTATCAAACTATTACTACGCAAAGAACAACCTCAAATCCAGGTGATAAAAAGACACTTGTGTGATGGTGTGAATACACACCAGAATAATTCTGGACCTTTAAAGCTAAACAGCTGATTCATTGTTGAAAGAAAATTCTTTGCCTTCTCAGTATTGCTCTCTGTCATGACGTTTGAACATCAGGGCTGAAAGAAACAGTTCATTAAACTACTTAACTGACATTACAAGTAGTAAGAAGCTCCTACCTTAATTGTTTTCCTTACATTCAGATTTTTAATGAAGCATACACATCATCTCTTTTTAACAGCTCCTGTGCACTTGCTATAGCTTCATCAATACAACTCCCAAAATCTCCATTTGAACCAACAATGAAATTAGGTGGAAATTTTTAACTTGACCATGATCATAATGATTTAAAGAGGAGTTTTGACTAATGTTTCATCAGATGAAAAATAATACAGGTATTGTAAAAAGGAGGTGATATTTTATTACTAAGTTATTTAGGATTTATTTGCCATGAGTTCAAGGCTTGAAACTTTCAAGGTATTCGTAATGGAAGTTCGGGGGCAGCATCAAACACATCAACACAAAACTTCACAAGTGGGAGACTTAAGAAGAGTTGGATTCCCTAACTATCGGTCTCAGTGCTTTCATTGGTGCACTACTTATTATCTACGTTGGTTTTGTAAACAGCAATGTAATTCCAGTCACTTTCTCAATGAACCTTTCATTCTGTTCACTAGTTTGACTCATTTTAAAACCAAAAACCATTTAAAATAAATAAAAAAACGAAAAAGAAAATGCACATTAGACTGGACATAAATTGAGAAAATCAACCAAAATTAAAATATTGTGCCATAACGAGCTCAAGACTACAAAAAAAAGGATGCACCCGCATTTCAAAGACTCATACCAAGTTCATAGTAAAGCATGTAAAAAAAAAGGTAAAAAGTTTTCAGAAATACGCACCTGAAAGACACATACAATGACGAAAGCACAAGAGCACTCCTACAGCCTTCAAGAAGACCCTAAAGTCACGTCTCCGCCACCCGGTTCCAGATCCATGAAGGGACACAAAGAGTCCCCCGCGACAAGCCCGGCCGTCGGCCCCCGCGATGCTACGCCGCCGTCCAGGACTCCACCAGGACCGCGCCGTCGAACTGCGTCCTGGACAGCACGGCCGCCCTAGCCACGGAGACCCCCGTGCTGAACCCCGCCGACGAACTGCGTGCTGCCACCGCGCCGAAGCCCTCCGCGACGAGAAGAGCACCGTGCTGAACTCCGCCGACGAACTGCGTGCTGCCACCGCGCCGAAGCCCTCCGCGACGAGAAGAGCACCGTGCTGAACTCCGCCGACGAACTGCGTGCTGCCACCGCGCCGAAGCCCTCCGCGACGTGAAGACCGCCGAGCTGAGCCCCGCCGACGAACTGCGTGCTGCACAGCGCCGCCGCCCTCCGCGACGTGAAGACCGCCGTGCTGAACTCCGCCGGCGAACAGCGTGCTGAACTGCGCCGCCGCCCTCTGCGACGTGAAGACCGCCGTGCTGAACTCCGCCGGCGAACAGCGTGCTGCACAGCGCCGCCGCCCTCCGCGACGTGAAGACCGCCGTGCTGAGCCCCGCCGACGAACTGCGTGCTGCACAGCGCCGCCGCCCTCCGCGACGTGATGAGCGCCGTGCTGAACTCCGCCGCCGCCATCCGGGCCGCCACCGCGCCGTCGAACTGCGTCCTGGACAGCACGGCCGCTGTCGCCACGGAGACCCCCGTGCTGCAAGCTCGGCCGTCGCACTCCGCGACGCTGCGCCGCCGTCCGGGACTCCACCAGGACCGCGCCGTCGAACTGCGTCCTGGACAGCACGGCCGCCCTCGCCACGGAGACCCCCGTGCTGCAAGCCCGGCCGTCGCACTCCGCGACGCTGCGCCGCCGTCCGGGACTCCACCAGGACCGCGCCGTCGAACTGCGTCCTGGACAGCACGGCCGCTGTCGCCACGGAGACCCCCGTGCTGCAAGCCCGGCCGTCGCACTCGCGCGCTGCGCCGCCGTCCGGGACTCCACCAGGACCGCGCCGTCGAACTGCGTCCTGGACAGCACGGCCGCTGTCGCCACGGAGACCTCCGTGCTGCAAGCCCGGCCGTCGCACTCCGCGACGCTGCGCCGCCGTCCGGGACTCCACCAGGACCGCGCCGTCGAACTGCGTCCTGGACAGCACGGCCGCCCTCGCCACGGAGACCCCGTGCTGCAAGCCGGCCGTCGCACTCCGCGACGCTGCGCCGCCGTCCGGGACTCCACCAGGACCGCGCCGTCGAACTGCGTCCTGGACAGCACGGCCGCCCTCGCCACGGAGACCCCCGTGCTGCAAGCCCGGCCGTCGCACTCCGCGACGCTGCGCCGCCGTCCGGGACTCCACCGGACCGCGCCGTCGAACTGCGTCCTGGACAGCACGGCCGCTGTCGCCACTAGTGCCTGGTGAAGCCGGCTGCAAAAAAAAGACTTTTGGGCCCCTTTTTACTCAAGGGGGCCAAAAAAAATTTTGCCCCCCCGGCTTGACCGCCCTTGGAAAAAAAAACGGTTTTTAAAAAAACAGGCCCCTTCGGGGTTC